CTAACTCTACTGTACACCATGCTCTAACCCTAATTACTGTACCATGGACCTAACCCCTAACTCTACTGTTCCACCCATGGACCTCTAACCCTAAACCTCTAACCCCTAACTCTACGTACACATGGGACCTCAACCCCTAACCTCTACCCCTAATCTAATGACACCATGGACCTCTAACCCCTAAATCTACTGTACACCATGGACCTCTAACTCATAACCTCTAACCACTAACTCTTACTGTACACCATGGACTCTAACCCCCCTAACTCTACTGTACACCATGGACCTCTAACCCCTAACCTCTAACCCCTAACTCTACTGTACACCATGGACCTCTAACCCCTAACCTCTAACCCCTAACTCTACTGTACACCATGGACCACTAACCCCTAACCTCTAACCCCTAACTCTACTGTACACCATGGACCACTGTCCTGACCACAATCTATGTATCAATAATGGACAATAAAGAATCTACTTCACTCCACTCTAACCCTAACCCTAACCCACTCCACTCTAACCCTAACCCTAACCCACTCCCATGTTTTATGAGCTGAAATAAAAGATCCCAGAATATTTCCATACGCACAAAAAGCTTATTTCTCTCAAATGTTGTGCACACATTTGTTTACATCCCTGTTAGTGAGCAAGATAATTCATCCATCTGACAGGTGTGGCATATCAAAAAGCTGATTAAACAGCATGATCATTACACAGATGCACCTTGTGCTAGGGACAATATAAGGCCACTCTAAAATGTGCAGTTTTGTCAGACAACACAATGCCACAGATGTGTCAAGTCTAAAGGGAGCGTGCGATTGACATGCTGACTGCAGGAATGTCCACCAGAGCTGTTGCCAGAGAATGTAATGTTCATTTCTCTACCATAAGCCGCCTCCAACGTTGTTTTAGAGAATTTGGCAGTACATCCAACCGGCCTCACAACCGCAGACCACGTGTAACCACGCCAGCCCAGGACCTCCACATCCAGCTTCTTCACCTGCGGGATCGTCTGAGACCAGCCAGCTGGACAGCTGATGAAACTGTGGGTTTGCACAACCAAAGAATTTCTGCACTAACTGTCAGAAACGTCCCTGGGAAGCTCATCTGCGTGCTCGTTGTCCTCACCAGGGTCTTGACCTGACTGCAGTTCGGCGTCGTAACCGACTTCAGTGGGCAAATGCTCACCTTCGATGGCCACTGGCAGGCTGGATGTCAACGTTGTGAACAGAGAGCCCCATGGTGGCGGTGGGGTTATGGTATGGGCAGGCATAAGCTACGGACAACAAATACAATTGCATTTTTGCATTGTACGAATGCATAGATACCGTGATGAGATCCTGGGGCCCATTGTCATGCCATTCATCCGCCGCCATCACCTCATGTTTCAGCATGATAATGCACAGCCTCATGTCTCAAGGATCTGTACACAATTCCTGGAAGCTGAACATTTCCCAGTTCAACCATGGCCTGCATACTCACCAGACATCACCCATTGAACATGTTCAGGATGCTCTGGATCTACGTGTACGACAGCGTGTTCCAGTTCCCGCCAATATCCAGCAACTTCTCACAGCCATTGAAGAGGAGTGGGACAACATTCCACAGGCCACAATCAACAGCCGGATCAACTCTATGCGAAGGAGATGTGTTGCGCTGCATGAGGCAAATGGTCACACCAGATACTGACTGGTTTTCTGATCCACGCCCCCTACTTAAAAAAAAGAAGGGTTGTGACCAACAGATGTATATCTCTATTCCCAGTCATGTTAAATCCATAGATTATAGCCTAATGAATGTATTTAAATTGACTGATTTCCTTATTTTAACTGTAACTCGTATAACGCAAACTCCTAGCAACCCAAAGGTTGCGATGTCGAATCTCATCACGGACAACTTTAGCATTTTAGCTAATTAACTACTTACTACTTTTTAGCTACTTTGCAACTACTTAGCATGTTAGCTAACCCTTCCCCAAACCCTAACCTTAACCCTTTTAGCTAACCCTTCCCCAAACCCTAACCTTAACCCTTTTAGCTAACACTTCCCCTAACCCCTAAATTTAACCTGAACCTTAACCCCTAACCCCAGCTAACGTTAGCCAGCTAGCGAACGTTAGCCACTTAGCTAGAAATCATAACATATCATACATTATAATTCGTATTTTATGTTACACATTTTCAAAACGTACAATATGTTACGAATTTGCTAAACGTAAACTTGCTGACAGGTGTATAAAATCAAGCACACAGCCATGCAATCTCCATAGACAAATATTGGCAGTAGAATGGCCCGTACTGAAGAGTTCAGTGACTTTCAGCAACAGGTGTGGCTGAAATAGCCGAATCCACTAATTTGAAGGTGTGTCCACATACTTTTGGCCATGTAGTGTACATTTATCAAATTCGTAACATATTGTACATTTTAATAATTCGTAACATAAAATACTAATTGTAATTCGTTACATATCATAAGTAACGGGAGATAGACAGCCACAAATTAATACATACCATACAAAAAGTAAAATATCAGATTTACATACAGAATATTACGAAATGATCTGAGACGTGGCAGGGGTTATTTATATATGGGCCCCATTCTACATGAAGAGCTCTCAGCTCTGTTTTATAAGCGGTGCGCTCATGATATGCTCTTATCTATTCAGTTGTGGGGGGTTGGAGTCGGACACACGCTCTGCTGTATGATAGACAGTTTTGTTTGAGTTAAGTCGGGTCTCTCTCTCCCTCTCTGCCCCTCTTCCCCTTGTGGTGGATATGTGATCTGGAGCAGTCCTCCACTTCTATTTTATATTAGTTTACAATTATAAACTTGAAAAGGAAATGGGAACAATATCAGATAAGGAACATGGCATTCTCTCTCCCTTGGCTCGCAGGCCCATGTCAAACATGGAGGTGTAGTAGCCCACTATTACATTTACGTCATTTAGCAGACGCTCTTATCCAGAGACACTTACACATTGGTGCATTCAACATTCTAGCAAGCAACACAGAGCTGAGCACCGCCGAGCGAGTGGTGCTTTTCACCTGCTGGTGCTGGATCGAGGTGAGCGCTTTTCTCCGTGATGAATCGCACAGCTGTCCATTTACGTATGTTCAGTTTTAATAGGCACAATCTAAGTTACAACACCCCTCCTCTCCTTCTCTCTCTCACACACACCCATAAGAACTATGCAGTACAAAGAAATGTGGGCTCTGTTCACAATGGTCTATTCCTAGGCGCATGAATTTTAAGTTTGGGAGTTTCAAGTATGGGGAAGCAACAATTTATCCTACCATTTCTACCGTTCTGTTTGCCAGTTATGATTTTCATATGCACATTTTCGTGAAACAATTTAATTTCAATAACGTTTTCGTTTCTCAAAATCACGTGGTTAATAATACAAATCGGAATTAAAATGATACAAATCTCAAAGTTAAAATTCCACCAATGAGAGGGCACCAGCCTCTGCCATAAAAAATATTATGGACACATTGTTTCACCGTGAGCCATTGGCGGCTAAAGAAATGAGAGATGGCCAATGTAGCAGTAGGCCTTTAACTTCCATTGGCAACTAATTAAAAATACATAAAGCCGACAAATAAAAAATAGAAAATATCCTGATGAAAATGCAGGTTCATCTCTACACCGCCTGTCTGTCTCCTTTCTATCTGTCTTGACTTGAGCTGTCACTGAAGCGCGTAAACATGGTCTGTCCTTGGTTGCAGCATTCACTACCGAGTTCCAAACTGCCTCTGGAAGCAACATCAGCACAATAACTGTTCTTCGGGAGCTTCATGAAATGGGTTTCCATGGCCGAGCAGCCGTAAACAAGCCTAAGATCACCATGCGCAATGACAAGCTTCGGCTGGAGTGGTGTAAAGCTCGCAGCCGAAGCTTGGCATATATTATATTTGTTTGTATTTTACCCCCCTTTTTCGCCACATTTTCGATCTTGTCTCATCGCTGCAACTCCCCAACGGGCTCGGGTGAGGAGTCATGCGTCCTCCGAAACATGACCCGCCTAATCGCGCTCCTTAACACCAGCCAGCCTAACCCGGAAGCCAGCCGCACCAATGTGTCGGAGGAAACAGAGTTCAACTGGCGACAGGGTCAGCCTGTAGGCACCCGGCCCACCACAAGGAGTCACTAGAGCACGATGAGGCAAGTAAAGCCCCCCCTGGCCAAACCCTCCCCTAACCCGGACGACGCTGGGCCAATTGTGCCCCGTCCTATGGGACTGCTGGCCACGGCCGGTTGTGGCACAGGCCGGGAATGAACCCGGGTCTGTTGTAACGCCCCACTCGGGTGGCCCCAGTGAAGGGAAATCTTAACGCTACGACATTCTAGACGATTCTGTGCTTTCAACTTTGTGGCAACCGTTTGGAGAAGGCCCTTTCCTATTTCAGCATGACAATGCCCCCATGCACACAGTGAGGTCCATGCAGAAATGGTTTGTCGAGATCGGTGTGGAAGAACTTGACTGGCCTGCACAGAGCCCTGACCTCAACCCCATCAAACACCTTTGGGGTGAATTGGAACGCAAACTCCGAGCCAGACCTAATTGCCCAACATCAGTGCCCGACCTCACTAATGCTCTTGTGGAGTGGAAGCAAGTCCCCTCAGCAATGTTCCAACATCTAGTGGAAAGCCTTCCCAGAAGAGTGGAGGCTGTTATAGCAGCAAAGGGGGGACCAACTCCATATTAATGCCCATGATTTTGGAATGAGATGTTTGACGAGCAGGTGTCCACATACTTTTGGTCATGTAGTGTAAATCCAACATGAAATGTGATACTGTAACTAGGCCTATAGTGTCCTTAACTAGCATTGAAAAAGTACATCCATTCTTCTCTACCCTGTCCTCCTCTCCTCTCCTCTCCTCTCCTCTCCTCTCCTCTCCTCTCCTCTCCTCTCCTCTCCTCTCCTCTCCTCTCCTCTCCCTCTCCCCTCTCCTCTCCTCTCCTCTCCTCTCCTCTCCTCTCCTGTGTTGTATTGTTCCAGCTGGTCCTGTCCAATGTGGACGTGGAGCTGAAATATTATGACCTGGGTCTGCCGTACCGCGACCAGACAGACGACCAGGTCACCATCGACTCGGCCATCGCCACAATGAAGTACAATGTGGCCGTCAAGTGTGCCACCATCACTCCGGATGAAGCCAGAGTCGATGGTATCTGCTTTGACCACATAGACATACATTCTTTGAAATAAATCATACATCGACAAGATGGGTATTTGAATCCCAGGGGATAACACTTACAGTGAGGGAAAAAAGTATTTGATCCCCTGCTGATTTTGTACGTTTGCCCACTGACAAATAAATTATCAGTCTATAATTTTAATGGTAGGTTTATTTGAACAGTGAGAGACAGAATATCAACAAAAAATCCAGAAAAACGCATGTCAACAATGTTATAAATTAATTTGCATTTTAATGAGGGAAATAAGTATTTTACCCCTCTGCAAAACATGACTTAGTACTTGGTGGCAAAACCCTTGTTGGCAATCACAGAGGTCAGACGTTTCTTGTAGTTGGCCACCAGGTTTGCACACATCTCAGGAGGGATTTTGTCCCACTCCTCTTTGCAGATCTTCTCCAAGTCATTAAGGTTTCGAGGCTGACGTTTGGCAACTCAAACCTTCAGCTCCCTCCACAGATTTTCTATGGGATTAAGGTCTGGAGACTGGCTAGGCCACTCCAGGACCTTAATGTGCTTCTTCTTGAGCCACTCCTTTGTTGCCTTGGCCGTGTGTTTTGGGTCATTGTCATGCTGGAATACCCATCCACGACCCATTTTCAATGCCCTGGCTGAGGGAAGGAGGTTCTCGCCCAAGATTTGACGGTACATGGCCCCGTCCCTTTGATGCGGGGAAGTTGTCCTGTCCCCTTAGCAGAAAAACACCCCCAAAGCATAATGTTTCCACCTCCATGTTTGACGGTGGGGATGGTGTTCTTGGGGTCATAGGCAGCATTCCTCCTCCTCCAAACACGGCGAGTTGAGTTGATGCCAAAGAGCTCCATTTTGTTCTCATCTGACCACAACACTTTCACCCAGTTCTCCTCTGAATCATTCAGATGTTCATTGGCAAACTTCAGACAGGCATGAATATGTGCTTTCTTGAGCAGGGGGACCTTGCGGGCGCTGCAGGATTTCAGTCCTTCACGGCGTAGTGTGTTACCAATTGTTTTCTTGGTGACTATGGTCCCAGCTGCCTTGAGATCATTGACAAGATCCTCCCGTGTCGTTCTGGGCTGATTCCTCACCGTTCTCATGATCATTGCAACTCCACGAGGTGAGATCTTCCATGGAGCCCCAGGCCGAGGTAGATTGACAGTTCTTTTGTGTTTCTTCCATTTGCGAATAATCGCACCAACTGTTGTCACCTTCTCACCAAGCTGCTTGGCGATGGTCTTGTAGCCCATTCCAGCCTTGTGTAGGTCTACAATCTTGTCCCTGACATCCTTGGAGAGCTCTTTGGTCTTGGTGGAGAGTTTGGAATCTAATTGATTGATTGCTTCTGTGGACAGGTGTCTTTTATACAGGTAACAAGCTAAGATTAGAAGCACTCCCTTTAAGAGTGTGCTCCTAATCTCAGCTCGTTACCTGTATAAAGACACCTGGAAGCCAGAAATCTTTCTGATTGAGAGGGGGTCAAATACTTATTTCCCTCATTAAAATTCAAATCAATTAATAACATTTTTGACATGCGTTTTTCTGGATTTTCTTGTTGTTATTCTGTCTCTCACTGTTCAAATAAACCTACCATTAAAATGATAGACTGATCATTTCTTTGTCAGTGGGCAAATATCTTTATTACAGTGGGCAAATACTTTTTTCCCTCACTGTATTAAAGAGTTTCTATAAATATTTGTTTGACAATGGTTCCAGGGTCAGGAGTTAGATCAGTACTGCAGTTTGACAGTTAACAGCTTAACTCATGCCAGGTCTTCCTCCATGACCCTTATTCCTCAGAGTTGAAGCTGAAGAAGATGTGGAAGAGTCAGGGTTAGATAGATAGTTACCTGGACTAGCTGTAGTAAGGTCAGGGTTAGAGTTAGGGTTAGGTCAAACAGGTTAAGAGGTTAACTCAGGCCTCCATCTCTAACCCTAACAGAGTTCAAGCTGAAGAAGATGTGGAAGAGTCCCAACGGAAGCATCAGGAACATTCTGGGCGGAACCGTCTTCCGAGAGCCAATCATCTGCAAGAACATTCCCCGTCTGGTCCCTGGTTGGACGCAGCCCATAACGATCGGCAGACACGCCTTTGGTGACCAGGTAGACAAGTAACGTGTTTTAGATTAGATTTGTATTCAATCACAGAGCATGTGAGGAATGTTCTGTTGTTGATGTGGGTTGTGTTGTTCCACAGTACAAAGCCACAGACTTTGTGATCACCAAGCCAGGGAAGTTTAAGATGGTGTTCACCCCGGCTGATGGCAGCAAGGGGAATGAGTGGGAGGTCTTTGACTTCCCCTCAGGAGGCTGTGGGTTGGGCATGTACAATACTGATGAGGTGAGCATTTTAATTTTTTATTTTTTTTATTTTTTAAGTTACACACTTTCTTTTCCATCCAAGGAAAGAAATGTGCCTTTGGCATCAAAGATTACATACTGAACAAAAATATAAATGCAACATGTAAAGTGTTGGTCCCATGTTTTATGAGCTGAAATAAAAGATCCCAGAAATGTTCCATATGCACAAAAAGCTTATTTCTCTCAAATGTTGTGGACTAATTTGTTTACATCAGGTGCACCTTGTGCTGGGGACAATAAAAGGCCACTCTAAAATGTGCAGTTTTGTCACACAACACAATGCTACAGAAGTCTCAAGTTTTGAGGGAGCGTGCAATTGGCATGCTGACTGCAGGAATGTCCACCAGAGCTGTTGCCAGTGAATTGAATGTTCATGTCTCTACCATAAGCCTCCTCCAATGTCGTTTTAGAGAATTTGGCAGTACATCCAACCGGCCTCACAACCGCAGTCCACGTATAACCACGCCAGCCCAGGACCTCCACATCCAGCTTCTTTACCTGCGGGATCATCTGAGACCAGCCAGCTGGACAGCTGATGAAACTGGGGGTTTGCACAACCAAAGAATTTCTGCACTAACTGTCAGAAACGTCCCTGGGAAGCTCATCTGCGTGCTCGTTGTCCTCAACAGGGTCTTGACCTGACTGCAGTTTGGCGTCGTAACTGACTTCAGTGGGCAAATGCTCACCTTCGATGGCCACTGGCAGGTTGGAGAAGTGTGCTCTTCAGGGATGATTCCCGGTTTGAACTGTACCGGGCAGATGGTAGCGGTTTGTGTCACCGTTGTGAACAGGGTGCCCCATGGTGGCGGTGGGGTTATGGTATGGGTAGGCATAAGCTATGGACAATGAACACAATTACATTTTATCGATGGAAATTTGAATGCACAGAGATACCGCGACGAGATCCTGAGGCCCATTGTTGTGCCATTCATCCGCCACCATCACCTCATATTTCAGCATGATAATGCACAGCCTGTCTGTTCTGTCCAGTCCATTACAGGGTTCTAATAGTGTTCTGTCTGTCCTGTCCAGTCCATCACAGGGTTCTAATAGTGTTCTGTCTGTCCTGTCCAGTCCATCACAGGGTTCTAATAGTGTTCTGTCTGTCCTGTCCAGTCCATCACAGGGTTCTAATAGTGTTCTGTCTGTCCTGTCCAGTCCATCACAGGGTTCTAATAGTGTTCTGTCTGTCCTGTCCAGTCCATCACAGGGTTCTAATAGTGTTCTGTCTGTCCTGTCCAGTCCATCACAGGTTCTAATAGTGTTCTGTCTGTCCTGTCCAGTCCATCACAGGGTTCTAATAGTGTTCTGTCTGTCCTGTCCAGTCCATCACAGGGTTCTAATAGTGTTGTCTGTCCTGTCCAGTCCATCACAGGGTTCTAATAGTGTGCTTTAGTGTTCTGTCTGTCCTGTCCAGTCCATCACAGGGTTCTAATAGTGTTCTGTCTGTCCTGTCCAGTCCATCACAGGGTTCTAATAGTGTTCTGTCTGTCCTGTCCAGTCCATCACAGGGTTCTAATAGTGTTCTGTCTGTCCTGTCCAGTCCATCACAGGGTTCTAATAGTGTTCTGTCTGTCCTGTCCAGTCCATCACAGGGTTCTAATAGTGTTCTGTCTGTCCTGTCCAGTCCATCACAGGGTTCTAATAGTGTTCTGTCTGTCCTGTCCAGTCCATCACAGGGTTCTAATAGTGTTCTGTCTGTCCTGTCAGTCCATCACAGGGTTCTAATAGTGTTCTGTCTGTCCTGTCCAGTCCATCACAGGGTTCTAATAGTGTTCTGTCTGTCCTGTCCAGTCCATCACAGGGTTCTAATAGTGTTCTGTCTGTCCTGTCCAGTCCATCACAGGGTTCTAATAGTGTTCTGTCTGTCCTGTCCAGTCCATCACAGGGTTCTAATAGTGTTCTGTCTGTCCTGTCCAGTCCATCACAGGGTTCTAATAGTGTTCTGTCTGTCCTGTCCAGTCCATCACAGGGTTCTAATAGTGTTCTGTCTGTCCTGTCCAGTCCATCACAGGGTTCTAATAGTGTTCTGTCTGTCCTGTCCAGTCCATCACAGGGTTCTAATAGTGTTCTGTCTGTCCTGTCCAGTCCATCACAGGGTTCTAATAGTGTTCTGTCTGTCCTGTCCAGTCCATCACAGGGTTCTAATAGTGTTCTGTCTGTCCTGTCCAGTCCATCACAGGGTTCTAATAGTGTTCTGTCTGTCCTGTCCAGTCCATCACAGGGTTCTAATAGTGTTCTGTCTGTCCTGTCCAGTCCATCACAGGGTTCTAATAGTGTTCTGTCTGTCCTGTCCAGTCCATCACAGGGTTTCTAATAGTGTTCTGTCTGTCCTGTCCAGTCCATCACAGGGTTCTAATAGTGTTCTGTCTGTCCTGTCCAGTCCATCACAGGGTTCTAATAGTGTTCTGTCTGTCCTGTCCAGTCCATCACAGGGTTCTAATAGTGTTCTGTCTGTCCTGTCCAGTCCATCACAGGGTTCTAATAGTGTTCTGTCTGTCCTGTCCAGTCCATCACAGGGTTCTAATAGTGTTCTGTCTGTCCTGTCCCCATCACAGGTTAAGGTGTTCTCTCCAGTCCATCACAGGGTTCTAATAGTGTTCTGTCTGTCCTGTCCAGTCCATCACAGGGTTCTAATAGTGTTCTGTCTGTCCTGTCCAGTCCATCACAGGGTTCTAATAGTGTTCTGTCTGTCCTGTCCAGTCCATCACAGGGTTCTAATAGTGTTCTGTCTGTCCTGTCCAGTCCATCACAGGGTTCTAATAGTGTTCTGTCTGTCCTGTCCAGTCCATCACAGGGTTCTAATAGTGTTCTGTCTGTCCTGTCCAGTCCATCACAGGGTTCTAATAGTGTTCTGTCTGTCCTGTCCAGTCCATCACAGGGTTCTAATAGTGTTCTGTCTGTCCTGTCCAGTCCATCACAGGGTTCTAATAGTGTTCTGTCTGTCCTGTCCAGTCCATCACAGGGTTCTAATAGTGTTCTGTCTGTCCTGTCCAGTCCATCACAGGGTTCTAATAGTGTTCTGTCCAGTCCATCACAGGGTTCTAATAGTGTTCTGTCTGTCCTGTCCAGTCCATCACAGGGTTCTAATAGTGTTCTGTCTGTCCTGTCCAGTCCATCACAGGGTTCTAATAGTGTTGTCTGTCCTGTCCAGTCCATCACAGGGTTCTAATAGTGTTCTGTCTGTCCTGTCCAGTCCATCACAGGGTTCTAATAGTGTTCTGTCTGTCCTGTCCAGTCCATCACAGGGTTCTAATAGTGTTCTGTCTGTCCTGTCCAGTCCATCACAGGGTTCTAATAGTGTTCTGTCTGTCCTGTCCAGTCCATCACAGGGTTCTAATAGTGTTCTGTCTGTCCTGTCCAGTCCATCACAGGGTTCTAATAGTGTTCTGTCTGTCCTGTCCAGTCCATTACAGGGTTCTAATAGTGTTCTGTCTGTCCTGTCCAGTCCATCACAGGGTTCTAATAGTGTTCTGTCTGTCCTGTCCAGTCCATCACAGGGTTCTAATAGTGTTCTGTCTGTCCTGTCCAGTCCATCACAGGGTTCTAATAGTGTTCTGTCTGTCCTGTCCAGTCCATCACAGGGTTCTAATAGTGTTCTGTCTGTCCTGTCCAGTCCATCACAGGGTTCTAATAGTGTTCTGTCCAGTCCATCACAGGGTTTAATAGTGTTCTATCTGTCCTGTCCAGTCCATCACAGGGTTCTAATAGTGTTCTGTCTGTCCTGTCCAGTCCATCACAGGGTTCTAATAGTGTTGTCTGTCCTGTCCAGTCCATCACAGGGTTCTAATAGTGTTCTGTCTGTCCTGTCCAGTCCATCACAGGGTTCTAATAGTGTTCTGTCTGTCCTGTCCAGTCCATCACAGGGTTCTAATAGTGTTCTGTCTGTCCTGTCCAGTCCATCACAGGGTTCTAATAGTGTTCTGTCTGTCCTGTCCAGTCCATCACAGGGTTCTAATAGTGTTCTGTCTGTCCTGTCCAGTCCATCACAGGGTTCTAATAGTGTTCTGTCTGTCCTGTCCAGTCCATCACAGGGTTCTAATAGTGTTCTGTCTGTCCTGTCCAGTCCATCACAGGGTTCTAATAGTGTTCTGTCTGTCCTGTCCAGTCCATCACAGGGTTCTAATAGTGTTCTGTCTGTCCTGTCCAGTCCATCACAGGGTTCTAATAGTGTTCTGTCTGTCCTGTCCAGTCCATCACAGGGTTCTAATAGTGTTTTGTCTGTCCTGTCCAGTCCATCACAGGGTTCTAATAGTGTTCTGTCTGTCCTGTCCAGTCCATCACAGGGTTCTAATAGTGTTCTGTCTGTCCTGTCCAGTCCATCACAGGGTTCTAATAGTGTTCTGTCTGTCCTGTCCAGTCCATCACAGGGTTCTAATAGTGTTCTGTCTGTCCTGTCCAGTCCATCACAGGGTTCTAATAGTGTTCTGTCTGTCCTGTCCAGTCCATCACAGGGTTCTAATAGTGTTCTGTCTGTCCTGTCCAGTCCATCACAGGGTTCTAATAGTGTTCTGTCTGTCCTGTCCAGTCCATCACAGGGTTCTAATAGTGTTGTCTGTCCTGTCCAGTCCATCACAGGGTTCTAATAGTGTTCTGTCTGTCCTGTCCAGTCCATCACAGGGTTCTAATAGTGTTCTGTCTGTCCTGTCCAGTCCATCACAGGGTTCTAATAGTGTTCTGTCTGTCCTGTCCAGTCCATCACAGGGTTCTAATAGTGTTCTGTCTGTCCTGTCCAGTCCATCACAGGGTTCTAATAGTGTTCTGTCTGTCCTGTCCAGTCCATCACAGGGTTCTAATAGTGTTCTGTCTGTCCTGTCCAGTCCATCACAGGGTTCTAATAGTGTTCTGTCTGTCCTGTCCAGTCCATCACAGGGTTCTAATAGTGTTCTGTCTGTCCTGTCCAGTCCATCACAGGGTTCTAATAGTGTTCTGTCTGTCCTGTCCAGTCCATCACAGGGTTCTAATAGTGTTCTGTCTGTCCTGTCCAGTCCATCACAGGGTTCTAATAGTGTTGTCTGTCCTGTCCAGTCCATCACAGGGTTCTAATAGTGTTTGTCTGTCCTGTCCAGTCCATCACAGGGTTCTCTAATAGTGTTCTGTCTGTCCTGTCCAGTCCATCACAGGGTTCTAATAGTGTTGTCTGTCCTGTCCAGTCCATCACAGGGTTCTAATAGTGTTCTGTCTGTCCTGTCCAGTCCATCACAGGGTTCTAATAGTGTTCTGTCTGTCTGGTCCAGTCCATCACAGGGTTCTAATAGTGTTCTGTCTGTCCTGTCCAGTCCATCACAGGGTTCTAATAGTGTTCTGTCTGTCCTGTCCAGTCCATCACAGGGTTCTAATAGTGTTCTGGTCTGTCCTGTCCAGTCCATCACAGGGTTCTAATAGTGTTCTGTCTGTCCTGTCCAGTCCATCACAGGGTTCTAATAGTGTTCTGTCTGTCCTGTCCAGTCCATCACAGGGTTCTAATAGTGTTCTGTCTGTCCTGTCCAGTCCATCACAGGGTTCTATAGTGTTCTGTCTGTCCTGTCCAGTCCATCACAGGGTTCTAATAGTGTTCTGTCTGTCCTGTCCAGTCCATCACAGGGTTCTAATAGTGATCTGTCTGTCCTGTCCAGTCCATCACAGGGTTCTAATAGTGTTGTCTGTCCTGTCCAGTCCATCACAGGGTTCTAATAGTGTTCTGTCTGTCCTGTCCAGTCCATCACAGGGTTCTAATAGTGTTCTGTCTGTCCTGTCCAGTCCATCACAGGGTTCTAATAGTGTTCTGTCTGTCCTGTCCAGTCCATCACAGGGTTCTAATAGTGTTCTGTCTGTCCTGTCCAGTCCATCACAGGGTTCTAATAGTGTTGTCTGTCCTGTCCAGTCCATCACAGGGTTCTAATAGTGTTCTGTCTGTTCTGTCCAGTCCATCACAGGGTTCTAATAGTGTTCTGTCTGTTCTGTCCAGTCCATCACAGGGTTTGCCCACAGCTGTTTCCAGTATGCCATCAATAAGAGGTGGCCTCTATACATGAGCACTAAGAACACCATCCTTAAGTACTACGACGGGCGCTTCAAGGATATCTTCCAGGAGATCTTTGAGAAGTAAGACAATCAACAAGTAAACCTACAGTATAGAGTTGCACTTCATTCCACATTTCTACCTATCTAGATATAATCTATTCACCATATTTATACCTAACTAGATATAGTCTATTCACCATATGTATACCTAACTAGATATAATCTATTCACCATATGTATACCTAACTAGATATAGTCTATTCACCATATGTATACCTAACTAGATATAGTCTATTCACCATATGTATACCTAACTAGATATAGTCTATTCACCATAGTATACCTAACTAGTATAATTATATTCACCATATTTATACCTAACTAGATATTGTCTTTCACCATATTATACCTAATAGATATAGTCTATTCACCATATGTATACCTAACTAGATATAGTCTATTCACCATATGTATACCTAACTAGATATAGTCTATTCACCATATGTATACCTACTAGATAATATATTTACCATATTTATACCTAACTAGATATAATCTATTCACCATATGTATACCTAACTAGATATAGTCTATTCACCATATGTATACCTAACTAGATATAATATATTCACCATATTTATACCTAACTAGATATAGTCTATTCACCATATGTATACCTAACTAGATATAGTCTATTCACCATATGTATACCTAACTAGATATAGTCTATTCACCATATGTATACCTAACTAGATATAGTCTATTCACCATATGTATACCTAACTAGATATAATATATTCACCATATTTATACCTAACTAGATATAATCTATTCACCATATGTATACCTAACTAGATATAGTCTATTCACCATATTTATACCTAACTAGATATAGTCTATTCACCATATGTATACCTAACTAGATATAGTCTATTCACCATATGTATACCTAACTAGATATAGTCTATTCACCATATGTATACCTAACTAGATATAGTCTATTCACCATATGTATACCTAACTAGATATAGTCTATTCACCATATTTATACCTAACTAGATATAGTCTATTCACCATATGTATACCTAACTAGATATAGTCTATTCACCATATGTATAGCTAACTAGATATAGTCTATTCACCATATTTATACCTAACTAGATATAGTCTATTCACCATATGTATACCTAACTAGATATAATATATTCACCATATTTATACCTAACTAGATATAGTCTATTCACCATATTTATACCTAACTAGATATAGTCTATTCACCATATGTATACCTAACTAGATATAGTCTATTCACCATATGTATACCTAACTAGATATAGTATATTCACCATATGTATACCTAACTAGATATAGTCTATTCACCATATGTATAGCTAACTAGATATAGTATATTCACCATATTTATACCTAACTAGATATAGTCTATTCACCATATTTATAATGAATGTTACAGGCTTTGGTTTCTTCATTTATGTTTTGAGGTTGGACTTTAGCACTGATTGGATCACCTCGTTAGTCAGTATGTGTTACACCTGTGCTGGTTGCCATCTCATTATTGGGAAGGTGTTTCACCTGTGCTGGCCCAGGTGCTATTTAAGAGTGGCTGGCCCTGTTCTCTAGTTGTGTTGAGAGATGTGGAGGGTCAACACCTTTAGTCTACTAACCATATTTATAACTAACTAGATATAGTCTATTCACCATATTTATACTTGACTAGATAGTCTTTTCACCATATTTATACAGTGCCTTCCAAAAGTATCCATCCCCCTTGGCGTTTTTCCTATTTTGTTGCATTACAACCTGTAATTTAAATGGATTTTTATTTAGATTTCATGTAATGGACATACACAAAATAGTCCAAATTGGTGAAGGGAAATGAAAAAAATAACTTGTTTCAAAAAATTCAAAAAAATAAATAACGGAAAAGTGGTGCGTGCAGAATGTATTCACCCCCTTTGCTATGAAGCCCCTAAATAAGATCTGGTGCAACCAATTACCTTCAGAAGTCACATAATTAGTTAAATAAAGTCCACCTGTGTGCAATCTAAGTGTCACATGATCTGTCACATGATCTCAGTATATATACACCTGTTCTGAAAGGCCCCAGAGTCTGCAACACCACTAAGCAAGGGGCACCACCAAGCAAGCGGCTCCATGAAGACCAAGGAGCTCTCCAAACAGGTCAGGGTTGGGTTTTTGCGCCTTCCTCTGACCGTCTGGTATAGAGGTCCTGGATAGCAGGAAGCTTGGCCCCAGTGATGTACTGGGTTGTACGCACTACCCTCTAGTACCTTACGGTCGGATGCCGAGTAGTTGCCATACCAGGCGGTGATGCAACCGGTCAGGATGCTCTCGATGGTGCAGCTGTAGAACTTTTTGAGGATCTGGGGACCCATGCCAAATATTTTCAGTCTCCTGAGGGGGAAAAGGCGTTGCCGTGCCCTCTTCACAACTTTCTTGGTGTGTTTGGACCATGATAGTTTGTTGGTGATGTGGACACCAAGGAACTTGAAACTCTCGACCCGCTCCACTACAGCCCCGTCGATGTGAATGGGGGCGTGTTCGGCCCTCCTTTTCCTGTAGTCCACGATCATCTCCTTTGTCTTGCTCATATTGAGGGAGAGGTTGTTGTCCTGGCACCACACTGCCAAGTCTCTGACCTCCTCCCAATAGGCTGTCTCATCGTTGTCGGTGATCAGGCCTACCACCGTTGTGTCATCAGCAAACTTAATGATGGTGTTGGAGTCGTGCTTGGCCACGCAGTCGTGGAGTGAACAGGGAGTACAGGAGGGGACTAAGCACGCACCCCTGAGGGGCCCCCGTGTTGAGGATTAGCGTGGCAAATGTGTTGTTGCCTACCCTTACCACCTGGGGGCGGCCCGTCAGGAAGTCCAGGATCCAGTTGCAGAGGGAGGTGTTTAGTCCCAGGGTCCTTAGCTTAGTGGTGAAAACACTTTCCAGTTGGTCCGCGCATGCTCTGAGTACACGTCCTGGTAACCAGTCTGGCCCCGCGGCCTTGTGAATGTTGACCAGTTTAAAGGTCTTGCTCACATCGGCTACGGAGAGTGTGATCACACAGTCGTCCGGAACAGCTGGTGCTCTCATGCATGCTTCAGTGTTGCTTGCCTCGAAGTGAATATAAAAAGGCATTTAGCTCATCTGGTAGGCTCACGTTACTGGGCAGCTCGCGGCTGGGTTTCCCTTTGTAGTCAGTAATAGTTTGCAAGCCCTGTCACATCCGACGAGCATCAGAGCCGGTGTAGTAGGATTCAATCTTAGTCCTGTGTTGATGCTTTGCCTGTTTGATGGTTCGTCTGAGGGCATAGCGGGATTTCTTATAAGCATCCGGATTAGTGTCCCGCTCCTTGAACGCGGCAGTTCTAGCCTTTAGATCGGTGCAGATGTTGCCTGTAATCCATGGCTTCTGGTTGGGATATGTACGTACGACGTCGTCGACGCACTTATTGATGAAGCCGGTGACTGAGGTGGTATACTCCTCAATGCCATCGAATGAATCCCGGAACATATTCCAGTCTGTGCTAGCAAAACAGTCCTGTAGCGTAGCATCCGCGTCATCTGACCACTTCCTTATTGACCGAGTCACTGGTACTTCCTGCTTTAGTTTTTGCTTGTAAGCAGGAATCAGGAGGATAGAATTATGGTCAGATTTGCCAAATGGAGGGCGAGGGAGAGCTTTCTATGCGTCTCTGTGTGTGGAGTAAAGGTGGTCTAGAGTCAGAAATCTTGCTTGTTTGTAGGTGACCAACTACTTATTTTCCACCATAATTTGCAAATAAATTCATAAAAAATCCTACAATGTGATTTTCTGGATTTTCTTTTCTCAATTTGTCTGTCATAGTTGACGTGTACCTATGATGAAAATTACAGGCCTCACTCATCTTTTTAAGTGGGAGAACTTGCACAATTGGTGGCTGACTAAATACTTTTTTCCCCCACTGTAGCTGTTCTGTCCTGCCGATGCACGGTAAACCCAGCCAACTGAATATTATCCGTGTCGTCGTTCAGCCACGACTCTGTGAAACATAAGATATTACAGTTTTTAATGTCCCGTTGGTAGGATAGTCTCGAACGGAGCTCATCCAGTTTATTCTCCAGTGATTGCACGTTGGCCAATAGAACGGATGGTAGAGGCGGGTTACCCACTCGCCAACGAAGTCTCACAAGGCACCCTGATCTGCACCCCCGTTATCTCCTTCTTTCCTTCATTAGAATGACGGGATTTGGGCCTGGTCTCGGAGAAGCAGTATATCCTTCACGTCAGACTCATTAAATAAAAAATCTTTGTCCAGTTTGAGGTGAGTAATCGCTGTTCTGATATCCAGAAGCTCTTTTCGGTCATAAGAGACGGTCGCATCAACATTATGTACAAAATAAGTTACAAACAATACGAAAAAACACACAAAATAGGACAATTGGTTAGCAGGCCGTAAAACAGCAGCCATCCCCTCCGGCGCCATTTTCTTATCGCGATACGGATTGAATAGAGGCCACAGTCTATTCACAGAGTGGCTGGCCAAGGTTGGCAGTAACGTTCCTTGCTGATTCTTCCCCAGTGTTAACAGTTAATCTATGCCTGCTTTAAAAGCTCCCGTGTTCTCTACAGGAACTACAAGCCAGAGTTTGACAGGCTGAATATCTGGTACGAGCACCGCCTCATTGATGACATGGTGGCACAAGTCCTCAAGTCCTCTGGAGCCTTCGTCTGGGCCTGCAAGAACTACGATGGAGACGTTCAGTCTGATATACTGGCTCAAGGTGAGACCAACACTAATATATAATATACTGTCTATACCTACAGTAATATAATAATAGAACCATAATGGAGACATTCAGTCTAACATACTGTCTCAAGGTGAGACCAACACTAATATATAATATACTGTCTATACCTACAGTAATATAATAATAGAACCATAATGGAGACATTCAGTCTAACATACTGTCTCAAGGTGAGACCAACACTAATGTATAATATACTGTCTATACCTACAGTAATATAATAATAGAACCATAATGGAGACATTCAGTCTAACATACTGTCTCAAGGTGAGACCAACACTAATGTATAATATACTGTCTATACCTACAGTAATATAATAATAGAACCATAATGGAGACATTCAGTCTAACATACTGTCTCAAGGTGAGACCAACACTAATGTATAATATACTGTCTATACCTACAGTAATATAATAATAGAACCATAATGGAGACATTCAGTCTAACATACTGTCTCAAGGTGAGACCAACACTAATGTATAATATACTGTCTATACCTACAGTAATATAATAATAGAACCATAATGGAGACATTCAGTCTAACATACTGTCTCAAGGTGAGACCAACACTAATGTATAATATACTGTCTATACCTACAGTAATATATAATATACTGTCTATACATACAGTAATATAATAATAGAACCATAATGGAGACATTCAGTCTAACATACTGTCTCAAGGTGAGACCAACACTAATATATAATATACTGTCTATACCTACAGTAATATATAATATACTGTCTATACCTACAGTAATATAATAATAGAACCATAATGGAGACATTCAGTCTAACATACTGTCTCAAGGTGAGACCAACACTAATATATAATATACTGTATATACATACAGTAATAATATTAAATACACTGTATATACATATAATAATATTATTACAGGCCTCTCTCATCTTTTTAAGTTGGAGAACTTGCACAATTGGTGGCTGACTAAATACTTTTTCCCCCCACTGTATCTATCCATCTCTCTCCTGTTTAAAAATATATTTCCCTTTATTACTTTCCAACCCCACCACCCCTTCCCTAATTGGAGTAAACTAGTGAACAACAATGCTTAGGCCTCTACTTCCAGCTTATACATACTATATACATTTTATGGACACAGTCAATTTTAAAATAATTATATTTTGTTTGTTTTTACTCCTGAACTTCCTCTACCCTCAACCTCTCCGATCATTTTCATGATGTCCATCCGGTTTGCTTCAATATGCCATATCTTTCTAACTGTGCTCTTTCACAAAAGTTCTTAACCTATAACCTATATACTTATTATGGACACAGTATGCTTTACATTAGTTATCTTGTTGTTGTTAGTTGTTATTAGTCCCATCCCCATATAAATAACATTCTATTGGTAGCAAGAATTTTGTATAATAATGTTGAATCCGGTGTCGTTTTGCGTATCAGATCATAAACACTATGCCATGGGATCGGTACGTCAAATCTCTTCCCAACTATTTTGCAATCTATATGGGACGGCTGTCAATCCTTTGGTCCTTAAATGAAACTGGTATTCTTTTTTATTTATCACAATTTTCATTAACCAATTATGTTCTTTAATGCAGGGCCGACAGACAAGTGCCTTACTTTTTCCCCCTTCCACTTTCCTTTTCCATTTTTGCAGTAATGCTGCAATTATTTGGTTGTGGGTAGAACAGACATTTCCATATGTTTTTGTTAGCTGCATGTGCGACATAACTCCACCAGTGCTACCTATGATATAATTTATGAAGATTATACCTTTTTAAAACATTTTTTCAAAAAACGTTTTTTTAAATCAATTTGTATATTTGAGTTTAACCACAATATTTGTTGCATTATGTGTTCTGTCGTTTCTGGAAGATTAAATTGAAATTGCAACCAACTTTCTATGGCTTGTTTTAGAAATAGTGATACTTGGGAGATGATTTCCTTTTCAAATGTGAGGTTGTAATCTGAATAAAGGGAAAAAGGCCATTCTTGAACATTGGGGGAGACAATCTTACTAATTTGCCAGAGAACCAGTTCAGATTTAAGTATAACTTTTGTATGACTGAAGCTTTTAGTGATAGGTCTAATGCTTTAATATTTAATAATTTATGTCCGAATTCATATTCATTATATAAATAGGCCCGTTTGATTTTGTCTGGCTTGCTGTTCCAAATAAAATGGAATCTTTTTTTCTCATACAATTTTTAAAAAACTGTTCGCTAGGCGTAGGCAAGACATTTTTTTTACATTTTAAATTTTAGTCATTTAGCAGACGCTCTTATCCAGAGCGACTTACAGTTAGTGAATACATTTTTTTTTTTATACTGGCCCCCCGTGGGAATCGAACCCACAACCCTGGCGTTGCAAACGCCATGCTCTATCAACTGAGCTACATCCCTGCCGGCCATTCCCTCCCCTACCCTGGGCCAATTGTGCGCCGCCCATGAGTCTCCCGGTCGCGGCCGGCTGTGACAGAGCCTGGATTCGAACCAGGATCTCTAGTGGCACAGTTAGCACTGCGATGCAGTGCCTTAGACCACTGCGCCACTCAGGAACAGCAAACCATAAGCAAATAGGTAAACAGGGATAATACTAAAGAGTGGGTGATTTTTCCACAAATAGACAGGTATTTACCTTTCCATGGTAGCAAGATCTAATCTATTTTTGCTAACTTTGTATTAAAATTTATTGGAGTGAGATCATTTATTTCATTTGGGATATGTATTCCGAGTATATCCACATCACCATCAGACCATTTTATTGGTAAACTACATGGTAATGTAAAAATTGTATATTTTAGTGATCCAATACGTAATATAGTACATTTATCATAATATGGTTGTAATCCAGAGAGGTTATAAAATGTATCTAGATCCTCTATGAGGCTGTGGATGTCAAGGGTTCTGATGCGAATGTGGTGTGGAATCAAGTGCAGGACACAGGAGCTCAGTCAAACTTGCCTTTACTGGAAAAGCACAAAATAACGGGTCAAACTAACCCGGAGGCGAACAATACGCAACAGTGCGTAAAATACAAAAACCGACTACGCACGAACAAATGTGCGACGGTAAATACGAGCGTCTGTCCAAACAACAGTAGAACACCAAAACAGACAGGAAAAACAATTACACACAACACATGACAGAAACAACGAGAACTTATAGGACACCTAATCAACACTAAACATGAACAGGTGTACTAAACAGACCAAACCAATCAAACATCGAAAACAAAGAACGGTGGCAGCTAGTACTCCGGAGACGACGACCGCCGAAGCCTGCCCGAACAAGGAGGAGGAGCAGCCTCGGCCGAAACCGTGACAGTGGAGGGATTCAAGTTGTGGATTTAAAAGAAAACGTGAATCATCAGCGTACAATGACACCTTTGTTTTTAAGCCCTGGATTTCTAATCCATTGATATTATTGTTGGATCTGATTTATTTTAATAGCTAACATTTCGATGGCCATCATAAATAGATATGCCGATAGTGGACAATCTTGTTTTACTCCTCTTGACAGTTTAAAACTTTCGAAGAAATAGCCATTATTTACTATTTTACACCTAGGGTTACTATACATGATTTTAACCCATTTTATAAGAGATTCTCCAAAATTGAAATGCTCCAGGCATTTATATATAAACTCCAGTCGTACTTTATCAAATGCCTTTTCAAAGTCTGCTATGAATAATAATAATAAAACCATAATGGAGACGTTCAGTCTAACATACTGAGAAAGGTCCACCTTGTAGCTAGCAGGAGTCCTATTAAAGGATAATCACATCGGAAAGTCTGGATGTACAGCGCCTTCAGAAAGTATTCACACCCCTTGACTTCTTCCACATTTTATTGTGTTACAGACGGAATTTGTGTCACTGGCCTACACACAATACCCCATATTGTCAAAGTGGAATTATGTTTTTTGAGATTTTTTTTTTTAAATAAAAAATGAAAAGCTGAAATGTCTTGAGTCAATAAGTATTCAACCCCTTTGTTATGGCAAGCCTAATGTCATGTCTCCTCCCGTTGCTCCCCTCCGGTGCTCTGATTCGCCGGTCTACTGAGCCACCGGTCTGAGCGCACCACCTCGGCAACACCGGAATGGAAACCCAACGCACCCTAATCACCTCCAGCGCACCTGCACCTCATCACCACCCCTATATAGCCCTGGACTGTTCAGTGTTGTGTTGTGTGTAATTGTTAGCGGCGTGTCGTTTACTCACTCTTTGTTATTCTCTTTCTCATTGTTTAGTAAACCTTTACCTTGTTGATTCCTGTGTCTGCGTCCTGCCTCTTCGTATCCTCAGGACTCGTCACAGGCCTGAACGAATATACTTGACTCTAACCCTAACCCTAACCCTTGACCTTGTTTGATTCCTGCGTCTGCGTCCTGCCTCTTCGTATCCTCAGTACTCGTCACACCTAAATAGTTCAGGAGTAAAAATGTGCTGAACAAGTCACAGAATTTGCATGAACTCAGTAATAGTATTTAATATGATTTTGAATTACTACCTCATCTTTGTACCCCACACATACAATTATCTGTAAAGTCCCTCTGTGACACTCTGGCTCCACGGACCTTTATTTCTTGAGCCAGGGTTGTTCATGTTCATTTGTTTTGGGTGTATTTCTATGTGGGGGTGTCTAGGTTGTTGTATTTCTATGTTGGGTGATTGTGCGTGTCTGTTTTCATTGACTCCCAATCGGAGGTAACGAGTGTCAGCTGTTCGGCTCGTTATCTCTGATTGGGAGCCATATTTAAGATGTAGGTTTTCTGGTGTTTGTTGTGGGTTATTGTTCCAAATGTTTTATGTTCAGTCTGTGTACTGAGGACGTCACGGATCGTGTTTTGTTTTGTCGTGTGTTTATCAAATTAAAATAAGTCATGTTCACTCGCTACGCTGCGCATTGGTTTCATCCTTACAAACGCCGTGACAGAATAACCCACCACAAGAGGACCAAGCGGCGTAACAAGCAGGGTGTCCAGGAGCCGAAGCCCTTTCCAACTCTAGCGGATATCCACGTCGACTGGGTCAAGCCGCGTGAGGAGGAGAGAGGTTGGACTTGGGAGCAGAGGATGGAGAGTCTGGAGAGTCTGGCGAGGAAGTTAGATGCCTGGTCCACGGGGAGGAGAGACCCCCAGAAAATTTTTTGGGGGGGGCTCACGACGTCGGGGCAGAAGGTGTACGGCCCGGAGGAGTGCAAGAGGTGGGCAGATATGGCCGCCAGTACAAGGGGGCTACTGGGTAAAGCAGGGAAGGATAGTGTTGAGGCACGGCATGAGGTACTGGGGTGTGTAACCAGTTCGGTCCGGCCCGTTCCTAGTCCCGAGGTGCAGCCAGTAGTGTGTGTTCCCCGTACGGTACGGCCTGTTCCGGCCCCTCGCACTAAGTGTACGGTGCGCGTCGCCAGCCCGGTTCAGCCTGTCCCTGCACCACGTAGGATGCCTACGGTGAGCGTCGCCAGCTCCGCCCGGCCTGTTCCTACTCCACGCACCAGGGATACGGTGCGCTTCGCCAGCCCAGCCCGGCCTGTTCCTACTCCACGCATCAGGCCTACGGTGCGTCCCCAGGGCCAAGCATGCCCTGTTGCTTCTCCCCGCACTAGCCCTGAGATGCGTGTCCTCAGCCCGGTACCTCCTGTTCCGGCACCACGCACCAGGCCTACGATGCGCCTCAGACGGCCAGAGTCTGCCGTCTGCCCAACGGGGCCTGAACTGTCCGTCTGCCCAACGCTGTCTGAACTGCCCGTCTGCCCAACGGCGCCTGAACTGCCCGTCTGCCATGAGCCTGCAAAGCCGCCCGTCTGCCATGAGCCTACAGAGCCGTCCGCCAGACCGGAGCCGCTAGAGCTCTCCGCCAGACAGGATCAGCCAGAGCCTTCCGCCAGACAGGATCAGCCAGAGCCTTCCGCCAGACAGGATCAGCCAGAGCCTTCCGCCAGACAGGATCAGCCAGATCCTTCTGCCAGACAGGATCCGCCAGAGCCAGCCAGCCAGGATCCGCCATTCAGTCCGGTGCTGCCCCTCAGTCAGGTACTGTCCCTTAGTCCGGTGCTGCCCCTTAGTCCGGTGCCGCCCCTTAATCCAGTGGGGTTTAGTTGGGGGGTGGTCATGAGGAAGGGTAGACTAAAGTGGAGAGTGACTAAGGTGGAGTGGGGACCACGACCTGGGCCAGAGCCGCCACCAGGGACAGACGCCCACCCAGACCCTCCCCTAGACTGTTGCTGGTGCGCCCGGAGGTCGCACCTTTAGGGGGGGGTAATGTGACACTCTGGCTCCACGGACCTTTATTTCTTGAGCCAGGGTTGTTCATGTTCATTTGTTTTGGGTGTATTTCTATGTGGGGGTGTCTAGGTTGTTGTATTTCTATGTTGGGTGATTGTGCGTGTCTGTTTTCATTGACTCCCAATCGGAGGTAACGAGTGTCAGCTGTTCGGCTCGTTATCTCTGATTGGGAGCCATATTTAAGATGTAGGTTTTCTGGTGTTTGTTGTGGGTTATTGTTCCAAATGTTTTATGTTCAGTCTGTGTACTGAGGACGTCACGGATCGTGTTTTGTTTTGTCGTGTGTTTATCAAATTAAAATAAGTCATGTTCACTCGCTACGCTGCGCATTGGTTTCATCCTTACAAACGCCGTGACACCCTCAGTCGAGCAGTGAATTTCAAACACAGATTCAACCACAAAGACCAGGGAGGTTTTCCAATGCCTTGCAAAGAAGGGCACCTATTGGTAGATTAAATACATTTAACAGACATTGAATATCCCTTTGAGCATGGTGAAGTTATTAATTACACTTTGGATGGTGTATCAATACATCCAGTCACAACAAAGATACAGGCGTCCTTCCTAACTCAGTTGCCGGAGAGGAAGGAAACTGCTCAGGGATTTCAACATGAGGCCAATGGTGACTTTAAAACAGTTACAGAATTGAATGGCTCAAAGGAGAAAACTGAGGATGGATCAACAACATTGTAGCGTCTGCTAAATGACTAAAATGTAAATGTAAATGTAGTTACTCCACAATACTAACCTAATTGACAGAGTGAAAAGAAGGATGCCTGTACAGAATATAAATAATACAAAACATGCATCCTGTTTTCAACAAGGCACTAAAGTAAAACTGCAAAAAATGTGTCAAAGCAATTCACTTTTTGTCCTGAATACAAAGTATGTTTGGGGCAAATCCAGTACAACACATTACTGAGTCCACTCTCCATATTTTCAAGCATAGTGGTGGCTGCATCATGTTATGGGAATGCTTGTAATCATTAAGGACTGGGAGTTTTTTCCGGATAAATAATACATGGAATGGAGCAAAGCACAGGAAAAATCCTATAGAAAAACATGGTTCAGTCTGCTTTCCACCAGACACTGGGAGATGAATTCACCTTTCAGGAGGACAATAACCTAAAACACAAGGCCAAATGTACACTGGAGTTGCTTACCAAGACACACGACCTGAAAATAGTTGTCTAGCAATGATCAACGATCAATTTAACTTTTGAAAAGAATATTGGGAAAATGTTGCACAATCCAGGTGTGGAAAGCTCTTCGAGGTTTACCCAGATAATTCACGTGCTTCTACAAAGTATTGACTCGGGGGTGTGAATACTTATGTAAATTAGATACTGCATTTCTGTATTTCATTTTCAATACATTTGAAAAAAAAAAAAAATAATCACTTCGTCATTATGGGGTATTGTGTGTAGATGAGTGAGAAAATTACATTTAATCCATTTTGAATTCAGGCTGTAACAACAATGTGGAATAAGTCAAGGGGAATGAATAGTTTGTGAAGGCATTGTACCTGGCTGAACTCCTAAGACACAGTGGAGGGTGATTGGATATCCTCTGCCATGCTATTGATGACTGGCTGAACTCCTAAGACACAGTGGAGGGTGATTGGATATCCTCTGCCATGCTATTGATGACTGGCTGAACTCCTAAGACACAGTGGAGGGTGATTGGATATCCTCTGCCATGCTATTGATGACATCCTCTTGTTGTTGTTGTTGTTGTGTGTGTGTGCATAGGTTTCGGCTCCCTGGGTCTGATGACGTCAGTGTTGGTGTGTCCTGATGGGAAGACCATTGAGGCAGAGGCAGCCCACGGCACCGTGACACGGCACTACCGCGAACACCAGAGGGTAAGGAACTAACCCTGACCTCTAACCCTAACCCTGATCCTATCCCTGACTCACGCCACGGTAACCAGCCACTGGGCGTTAGGACCTTTCCATGCTGGAGGGTAATTCAGTCTTATTGCTAATGATGCTACTGCTGTATAGCCAGTCACTGTTACAAATATCCTTCTCCTCCTGTAGGGTAGACCACCATGTCACTGTTAAAACTATCCTCTGTCCTCCTGTAGGGTAGACCACCATGTCACTGTTAAAACTATCCTCTGTCCTCCTGTAGGGTAGACCCACCAATGTCACTGTTTAAAACTATCCGCTGTCGCCCTGTAGGGTAAGAACCACCATTCATTTTAAACTATCCTCGTGTCCCCTGTAGGGTATAGACCTAACCAGAGCCATGTCACGGTGAAAACTATCTTCTGTCCTCCTGTAGGGTAAGCACCAATGTCACTGTTAAAACTGTCCTCTGTCCCTCCTGTAGGGTAGACCACCATGTCACTGTTAAAACTATCCTCTGTCCTCCTGTAGGGTAGACCACCATGTCACTGTTAAAACTATTCCTCTGTCCTCCTGTAGGGGTAGACCAACCATGTCACTGTTAAAAACTATCCTCTGGCCCACTGTCAGGGTAGACCAACCATGTTCACTGTTACAAATATCCTTCCGGATCCTCCTGTAGGGTAGACCTAACCAGACGCGCCATGGCCACTGTTTAAACTATCCTCTGTCCTCCTGTATGGTAGACCACCATGTCACTGTTTAAAACTATCCTCGGTCCCCTGGAGGGTAGACTACCAGAGCCATGTCCCCTGTTAAAACTATCCCTCTGTCCTCCTGTCGGGTAACCTACCAAGCCACTGTCACTGTAAAACGATCCTCTGCCCTCCTGTAGGGTAGACCTACCAAGCCATGTCACTGTAAAACATCCTCTGTCCTCCTTGAGGGTAGACTACCAGAGCCATGTCATGTTTAACTCCGCTTCCTCCTGTATGGTAGACCACCTTTCACTGTTAAAACTCTCCTCTGGTCCTCCATTTAGGGTAGACCTAGCCAGAGCTATGTCACTGTTAAAACTATCCGCTGGTCCTCCTGTAGGTAGACCACCATGTCACTGTTAAAACTATACTCTGTCCTCCTGTAGGGTAGACCTTCCAGAATCCCATGTCACGTTAAAACTTCTCGGGTCTCTGTAGGGTAGACCACCATGTCACTGTTAAAACTATCCTCTGTCCTCCTGTAGGGTAGACCACCATGTCACTGTTTAAAACTATCCTCTGTCCTCCTGTAGGGTAGACCACCATGTCACTGTGTAAAACTATCCTCTGTCCTCCTGTAGGGTAGACCACATGTCACTGTTAAAACGATCCTCGGTCCGCCTGTAGGGTAGCCCACCATGTCCACTGTTAAAACTAATCCTCTGTCTCCTGTAGGGTATACCACCCATTTCACTGTTAAACTATCCTCGGTCCTCCTGTATGGTAACCCCCATGTCCACTGTAAAACTAATCCTCTGTCCTCCTGTAGGTAGACCACCATGCAACTGTTAAAACTATAACCCTCTGTCCTCCTGTAGTGTAGACCTACCAGAGCCATGTCACTGTTAAAATATCCTCTGTTCCTCCTGTCGGGTAGAAACCTACCAGAGCCCATGTCACTGTTTAACTATCCTCTGTCCCCTGTAGGGTAGACCTCCAGAGCCATGTCCACTGTTAAACCAGAAGTCCCATGTCCCTCTGTAAAACTATCCTCTGTCCTCCTGTCGTATACACCAATGTTGTCAGTCACTGTTTAAAACTATCCTCTGTCTCCTGTAGGTTAGACCCTCACCATGTCACTGTTAAAACTATCCTCTGATTCCTCCTGTAGTGACCACCACAACCATGTCACTGTTAAAACATCTCGGTCCTCCTGTAAGGGTAGACCACCATGGCACTGTTAAAACTACCTCGTCCTCCTGTAGGGTAGACCACCATTTCCTGTTAAAACTCAATCCTTGTCCCTCCTGTAGGGTAGACCACCAATGGTCCAACTGTTAAAACTATCCTCGGTCCTCCTGTCGGTTAGACCTAAACCAGAGAGCCAATGTCACTTTAAAAAACTATCCTTGTCCTCCTGTAGGGTAGACCACCATTCACTGTTAAAACTATCTCTGTCCTCCTGTGTAGGGTAGACCTACCAGAAGCCTGTCACTGTTAAAATTAATCCTCTGTCCTCCTGTAGGGTAGACCTCCAGAGCCATGTCAACTGGTAAAACTATCCCCTCTGTCCTCCTGTAGGTTAGAACCTACCATAGCCATGTCCTGTCTAAAACGACCTCTGTCTCCTGTTAGGGTATACTACCAGAGCCCTGTCACCTTGTTAAAAAAAACTAATCCTCTGTCCTCTCTGTATTTTAGACACCATGTCACTGTTAAAACTCTCCTCTGTCCTCCGTAAGGGTATGACCCTACCAAGCTAATGTCACTGTTAAAACCTATCCTATGTCCTCCTGTAGGTTAACCTCCCAGAGCCATGTCCGTTAAAACCATCCTCTGTCCTCCCTGTAGGGTATACCACGATGTCACTTTTAAAACTATCCTCTGTCTCCTGTAGGGTAGACCTACCAGAGCCATGTCACTGTTAAAACTCTCCTTCTTCTGCCTCCTGTAAGGGTAGACCACCATGTCACTGTTAAAAAAACTATCCTCTGTCCCTGTAGGGGTAGACCTACCCGAGCCCATGTCACTGTTAAAACTATCCTCTGTCCTCCTGTAGGGTTAGACCACCCCATGTCAACTGTTAAAACTATCCTCTGGTCCTCTGTAGGGTAGACCTACCAGAGCCATGTCACTGTTAAAACCTATCCTCTGTCCTCCTGTAGGGTAGACCTACCATCCATGTCACTGTTAAAACTATCCTTCTGTCCTCCTGTAGGGTTAGACCTACCAGAGCCATGTCACTGTTAAAATCTATCCTCTGTCCTCCTGTAGTGGTAGACCTACCAGAGCCATGTCACTGTTTTAAAAATATCCTCTGTCCTCTGTAGGGTAGACCTACCAAGCCATGTCACTGTTAAAACTCTTCCCCCTCTGTCCTCCTGTAGGGTAGACAACCATGTCACTGTTAAACTATCCTCTGTCCTCCTTAGGGTAGCCTACCAGAGCATGTCACTGTTAAAACTATCCTCTGTCCTCCTGTAGGGTAACCTACCAGACCAATGTCATGTAAAACTTCTCTGTCCTCCTGTAGGGTAGACCCTACCAGAGCCATGTCACTGTTAAAACTATCCTCTGTCCCCTCCTGTAGGGTAGACCGCCACGCTTTCACTGTTAAAACTATCCTCTGTCTCCTGTAGGGTGACCCCCGAAACCCCCCCCCTTAACCAGAGCCATTCACTTAGCCATGTTTATACTGTTCTAACATGCGTCCTTTTTGTACGATCTTGTCCCTCATTCTGAATTGTGGCACATTTGTAGCTGATTAAAATACTAATTTCTAATTAATTTTGATCAAGTGTAATTGGAAGATCAGGACAAGTCAGAATTAAGGACACATGTTTAGCTGCAGGTAAAAACGGGACTTCTGTTAAACCTGTCCTCTCCTCTCCTCCTGTAGGGCAGACCCACCAGCACCAACCCCATCGCCAGCATCTTTGCCTGGACCAGAGGGCTGGAACACCGAGGAAACTGGATGGAAACCCAGCCTCATCAATTAATATATATAACGCTACCCCTGACCTGTAACATTCTAATAACTACTCAAACCCTGACCTGTATATATTAATAACTACTAAACCTGACCTGTAATATATTCAAACTACTCAAACCCTGACCTGTAAATATATTAATATACTAACCCTGACCTGTACTCTATTAATACCTATCTCAAACCCTGACCTTAATATATTATAACTACTACCCCTGACCTGTAATTAATATTAATAACTACTCAAACCTCTGACCTGTCAATATATTAATCACTACGAACCCTGACCTGTAATATTTAATAACTACTCAAACCCTGACCTGTAATATCTTAATAACTCTAACCCTGACCTGGTAATATATGAATAACTACTCAAACCCTGACCTGTAATATATTAATAACTACTACCCGGACCGGTAAACATCTCAATACTACTCAACCCCTTACCTGTAAAATCTCAATAACTATACTACTCCAAACCCTGACCTGTACATCTCAAAACTACTAACCCCTGACCTGTACTCTCAATACTACTCAAACCCTGACCTGTAATATATTAATAACTAGCTCAACCCTGACTGTAATATATTCATAACTCTCAACCCTGACCTGTAAGATATAATAACGTCCTAACCCTGACCTGTAATATATTATAACTACTCAAAACCTCTGACCTGTATATATTAAATAACTAACTCAAACCCTGACCTGTAATATAGTAATAACTACTAACCCTGACCTTAATATATTAATACTACTCAACCCTGGACCTGTAACTCTCAATAACTACTCAAGACACTGACCCGTAATATATTAATACTAACTCAACCCTGACCGCTGTAATATATGAGATAACTACTCAAAAACCCTGACCTGTAACATCTCAATAACTACTCAAAACCCTGACCTGTAACATCTCAAGAACTACTCAAACCCTGACCTGTAATAATAATAACTACTAACCCTGACCTGTATATATTAATAACTAACTTCAAACCCTGACCTGTAATATATTATAACTACTCAAACCCTGACCTGTAATCTATGAAGACTAATCAAACCCTACCTGTAACATCTCAATAACACTCAAACCCTGACTGTATATAGTAATAACTACTCAAACCCTGACCTGTAATATATTAATAACTACTCCAACCTGACCTGTTAATATATTAATAACTACTCAAACCCCGACCTGTAATAGATTAATACTACTCAAACCCTGACCTGGAACATCTCAATAACTACCAAACCCTTGACCTGTATATTAATAACTCACTCAAACCCTGACCTGTAACATCTCATAACTACTCAAACCCTGACCTGTAACCTCTCAATAACTACTTAACCCTGACCTGGAACATCTCAATAACTACTCAAAACAGACCTGTAATATATTAATACTTACTCAAGTCAAAGAAACCCTGACCTGTAATATCTTATAATCCTCAACCTGACCTGTAATATATTAATACTACTCAAACCCTGACCTGTAATATATTAATACTCTAACCCTGACCTTATATATTAATAACTACTCAACCCTGACCTGTAACATCTCAAAACTAACTCAACCTGCACCTGTAACCTCTCAATAACTACTCACCCTGACCTGTAATATATTAATAACACTCAAAACCCTGACTGTAATATATTAATAACTACTCAAACCCTGACCTGTAACATCTCATCACTACTCAAACCCTGTCCTGTAACATCCTCAATAACTCCTCAAACCTACCAAAACCCTGACCTGTAATATCTTAATAATAACTACTCAAACCCTGACCTGTAACATCTCAATAACTACTCAAACCCTGACCTGTAACATCTCAATAACTACTCAAACCCTGACCTGTACCATCTCAATAACCTCACTCAAACCCTGACCTGTACTAGATACTAACTACTCAAACCCTGCCTGTAACATCTGCAATAACTACTCAACCCTGACCTGTATTATTAATACTATAACTCTCAACCCACCTGTATATATTATAACTAACTCCAACCCTACCTTAATATATTAATAACTACTCCACCCGACCTGTAATATATTATAACTATCTACTCCAACCCTGACCTGTACATCTCAATAACTCACTCAAACACCCTGAACCTGTACATCTCAATAACTACTCAACCCTGAACCTGTAACATCTCAATAACTAAACTCAAACCCGAACCTGTAATATGTTATCATACTCCAAACCTTACCTGTAAATCTCAATAACTACTCAAAAACTCCTGACCTGTAATATATTAATAACTAACTCAAACCCTGACCTCGTAACATCTCAATAACTACTCCAACCCTGACCTGTAACATCTCAATACCTACGCAACCCTGACCTGTAATATATTACATAACTAGACTCAAAAAAAACACCTGAACCTGTACATCCTCAATAACTACTCAAACAAACCCTGACCTGTAACATCTTCTCAATAACTACTCCAAAACCCTGACCTGTAACCTCCTTAAATAACGACTCAAAACCCTGACCTTTAATATAATAATACTACTAACCCTGACCTGTAATAATATTAATACTACCAAAAAACCCTGACCTGGTAATATAATAACTACTCAAACCGACCTGTAACTCTCAATAACTACATAACTACTCAAACCCTGACCTGTAAACAATCTCAATAACTACTCAACCCACCCTGACCTGTAATATATTAAATAACTACTCAAACCCTGACCTGTAATCTCAATAACTATCCAACACCCTTACCTGTACATCTCAATAACTACTCAACCCTGACCGTAATCTAGTAATAACTACTCAAACCCTGCCTGTCATATTTAATACTATCAAACCCTGACCTTTTAATATATTAATAACTACTCAAACCCTGACCGGTATAATATAATAACTACTCAAACCCTGACCTGTAACATCCTCAATCACTACTTCAAACCCTGACCTTAACATCGCAATCACACTCAAACCCTGACCTGTAATATATTTAATAACTACTCAACCCTTGACCTTAACATCTCCAATACTACTCAAACCCTGACCTGTAATATATTATAACTACTCAACCCTGACCTGAAATATATGAATAACTACTCAACCCTGACCTGTAACCTCTCAATAACTACTCAAAACCCTGACCCTGTAAACATAATTAATCACTACTCAAGCACCCTGACCTGTAATATATTAATAACTACTCAAACCCCTGACCTGTAACATCCAAATAACTACTAACCCGGTGACCGTAACCTCTAATAACTACTCAAAAAACCTGACCTGTACTATATTAATAAACTACTCCAACCCTGCCTTAAATATATTACTAACTCTACCCTGAACTGTAATATATTAATACCTACTCAAACCCTGACCTGTAATATATTAATAACTACTAACCCTGACCTGGTATATATTAATCATAACTCAAAAAAAAAAACCCTGACCTGTATATTTAATAAAAAACCTTACTCAAACCCTGACCTGTAATATATTATACTCTCAAAACCCTGACCTGTAATATATTAAATAACTACTCAAACCACTGACCTGTAACATCTCAATAACTACTCAAACTCCCTGACCTGTAATAAATTAATAACTAACTTCAGAAACCCTACCTGGATATATTAAAGACTACTAACCCTGACCTTTAAATATAGTAATAACTACTAACCCTGACCTGTAATATATTAATACCTACTAACCCTGCCTGTATTATTTAATAACCACTCAAAACCCTGACCTGTACCAATCTCAATAACTACTCAACCTGACCTGTAATATCTTAATACTACTCAAACCCTGACCTTTCATATATTAATAACTACTATACTAACCCTGACCTGTAATCTATTGGAGTAACTACTAACCTGACCTGTAATATATTCATAACTACTCAAAACTCCCTGACCTGTAACATCTCATACCTACTAACTACCAAACCCTGACTGTAACGTCTCAATACTAATCAAACCCTGACCTTAATATATTAATAACTACTCAAACCCTGACCTGTAATATATTAATAACTACTAACCCTGACCTGTTTATTAATAACTACTAACCCTGACCTGTATATCATTAATAACGACTCAAACCCTGACTGTACATCTCAATAACTACTCAAACCCTGACCTGTAATTATATTAATAACTACTCACACCCGACCTGTAATATATTAATAACTAATAAACCCTGACCTGTAATAGATTAATAAATATTAACTACTCAAACCCTGACCTGTAATATCTTAATAACTACTCAAACCCTGACCTGTATATATTATACTACTAACTACTCAAACCCTGACCTGTAATATATTAATAACTACTCTACTCAAAATAACTCCTCAAAACCCGACCTGTTAATATATTAATAAACTACTCAAACCCTGACCTGTAACATCTCATAACTACTCAAACCCTTCCCTGTAATATATTAATAACTACTCAAACCCTACCTGTTAAATATCATTAAAACTACTCAAACCCTTACCTGTCACATCTCATAACTACCCAAACCCTGACCTTACTATATTAATAACTACTCAATACCGAACCTGTAATATATTAATTAAATAACTACTCAAAACCCCTGACCTGTACATCTCAATAATACTCAAACCCTGACCTGTAATATATTAAACTACTCAAACCCTGACGCTGTACATCTCAATCACTACTAACCCCTGACCTGGAAATTATTACTAACTACTTTCACTCAACCCTGACCTGTAATATATTAATAACTACTCAAACCCTGACCTGTAACATCTCAATAACTACTCAACTATCAAACCCTGACCTGTAACAATCTCATAACTACTCAAAACCCTGACCTGTAATATATTAAAATAACTACTCAAACCGACCTGTAACATCTCAATAACTAACTCAAACCCTGCCTGTAATCGCTCAATAACTACTCAAACCCTACCTGTAACATCTCAATAACTACTCCAACCCCTGACCTGGTAATATATTAAGAATATACTCTCAACCCTGACCTGTAACCTCTCAATACTATCTCAACCCGACCTGTAAAACTCAATACTACCAAACCCTGACCTGTATATATTAAAATAAC